AACTTCTTGTTCCACAATGTATACCCTTTTACGTCCCTAAATCTCTTTTAGATGTATCATACTTGGTCCAACTTCCAGAAGCAGGATCTGAATAATTATCCCTTCATCTTGCCCTGGTAATGATTTTGTCTCCATGTCACACCTATGGGAAGAGACTGTGGAACCACAGGAAAAGAGCTATAGAAATCACCAGTGGCCAAAGGCAGAACTGCACAGGAAAAAGATAGGATTCCAGAAAGGGGATAACCATCAACAAGATGAGAACAGAGAAGCATTGGGAATTGGAGAGCAGTGGGGAGCGTCTGGACAAGGGCTGACACTGGAAAGGGAGATGCCAGGGTTCAGGCCAGGTCAGTGGAATGAGGGTGAAGAGAGGGATAAGAAATGAGAGCAGGCTGAGGCTGCAGCCAGACAGGAAACATGAGAAGCTCAAATTTGACAAGGGAAGAAGGAAGGCAGAAAGGATTCAGGGTGAAAGAATTGTTCCTAGGACAGAAGTTATACCAGAGCTTTACTTCTGACTCTTCTGACCATTTTATTCTGCCTCAGAATTTTCCTTTCTAATGGGGCTCAGTGATGAGCCATATCTATAGCTACAGGAATATTATGCAAAATAACAAGAAATTGGAAAATGTTTGGATTGCTTCATATGGCTAGACATGAGGTGAACCTAACCAATCTATTTAGTTTAGCTTTGGTCACAGTTGGAAATGATGGTGGCTGCACGCCACATTTCCAACATTCTTATTCTCCAGTTCCATGCATTAAATTACTCACTTGACAGTCACCAATGACTAAGCTGCTACCCTGTACTAGGATTTAGGATTATAAAGGGAAATAATCGTATTTTCTGTGTGCAAGTTCCTAGACAATGTGGGAGACAGATACCTAAAAATAATGATGCGTTGAAAGTACTATGATAAAGTTATTAACAAAGCATTCTTGAGGGGCAGGAGAGGAAGACTTCTAGTTATTTCTCCAATATACTCCTGTCCCTTAGCTTAATTCATTTATTTCTCTTGGAAAGTACCCTTCCCAACCCTGACCACTAAGCCACATCCCTTGAAATTTTGACCATTCTTCAAATGCCATTTTTTTCAACAAAGCAGTTCCTAACCTCAAAATTTGGAATTAATCTTTCCATTCTGTGTGTTTTTATAATATTTATTTACATTTCTGTTTACGCCAATTAGTTTTTTTAAATTGTATATGGTGAATGTACACACACACACACACACACACACACACAAGGCTTCTTAAAATGTATTCGGGGCCTGTTCATTTAGAACGACTAATCTACAGCCCGTTTCAGGATGCTAAAGTGAGAGGATCCTGCTTTATTCTAGCAATTGAGAGTCCTTATATGCACATGGCAAAAATAATTGCTTGTTTTGAAGAGGCATAAAAGAAATGGCCGTTAGACCTAAAATGACCCAATTTTTCTTCTTATCTCTTTCTACGTTGGGACAAAGAAGTAGCAACAACAACAACAACAAAATTAATCAAAGAATTTTTTAATTTGGAAAGGACTCTATATTTCATTTACTCCAACATCTTTTTTGCAAATGAGGAAACTAAGTCCCGATAGATTTGGATATTTCTTTAATATTACATAGCCAGAATCATCAATATCAAATTTTGAGACTCTTAAGTTCAAGGCTCTTTGTTCAAGATCAAATAGATTACCTTTAATAAAAAGAAGGAAAAGAACATGGTAAAAAAAAAAAAAAAGTAGCACTAAAATATACAAAGAAAAGGAATTCATTGAAAAGCCATGTACATTATAGGAAAAAAAATTTCCTATCAGTCCACTTGTCCATAAAGAATATCATGCTTTCAACAACATCAGTGAAAATGTCTGTAGAGTTTAAAGCTTCAATTTAAAAATCTGACTTTTGCAATTTCCAGATCTTTTACCCTTAGAGTCTATAATCATTCTATACGGTTGACAATGAGAATCGTTCTGAGGTTCTTCTCCAAGACATTTCAATATGTTCGGGTGATACCGGTCATTAACAGGTGTTCTTAACAGTTGTGGAAGTAAAATAATATATTAAGGCTTTGTGGAGTAGGGCACACTCACACATGTTCTCTCCCATCATGACTTAGGCAAATGCAGCAGATGCAATCAAATCTGACATAGTTTACTCCATTCTGGGTCTGCTATTACTTCCAGAACCTGTGCCTTTTCCCTGACTTTTCCCATGTCACTGCTGACCCAGCCCTGTCCTTACAGATGCGATCCAATCTTATAGACACCCTAGGTCAGCACTTGCGAGCACAAACTCGTACATACACACACACATACATACACGCAATAATAAGTCTCACCACTAAATTTGAATTTAAAACTTACTGTGTTCTAATTCTAAAATTCTATTTACAATTCCAATTATGAACAGTGAAATATATATCACTTAGCTATATACTCTGTATACATAATGTATGTGAATCTATCTATCTATCTATCTATCTATCTATCTATCTATCTATCTATCTATCTATCATCTCTTCCCAGTGATACATAATCACTCAGATAAAGACCACCTAGTCTAAAAATTTTTCATTTGCTGCAGAGGATGGTCTCTGAAAACTGGTTTTCAGTTAGAGATTACCCTGCCCCCCATACACACACTGCTGCTCTGCACTTCCCAAGGTCCACTTGAGGGCAGAAGGAGAGTGCACGGTTTTGGAGTCAGCTACACAGAGACTTAATATTAGTTCTGCTATTTACTATTTGTGTGATCTGGAGAAAATTACTTACTCTCACTGGACAGTAATTTCTTTATTTCCAGAATGAAGGTAGTGATACATCGTGGAGGGGTAAGGATTTGAGGTAACGTCTGCTAGTGAGTGCTGCATGGTAGTGCTCAGAAAATAATAGCTATTATAACGAAGGTGATGATGAGAGGGAAGAGGAAGAGAGGATGGAGTAGGAAAATGTTGACCTCCACTTTCTAAAATGTCTTTTGTATTTTTTAGTAAGGCTTGGCAGAACTTGACTGCTAGCCTTTATCTGGGGAATATTAAACTTGAGGTTGGGGAGAGGGAGAGAGAACTAGTGGTGGGGCAGGGGTGCAGAAGGGGTGGCTAACATTTAATATGTGATTTTCCCGTCTTGAAGCTCATATATACATAAACTCATGTCCCTTCTACTGCTGGGAATAGGACAGTCATTGTAGTGAATTCAGCATCTTTTGAGAAGTCAAGGCTTGCTTGCTTGCTTGCTTGCTCTTATTGATTGATTGATTGATTGATTGCTTAGAAGGACCAAACTTTACAAAGAAGGGTGAACAAATTCCTGTGTACTCAATGGCAGCTAACCATAGAATTTCCAGTTACAGCAGCAGACTCTGGTTGCTTGCCAACTCTGGCAATTGTAGTCACTGTGAGATACCCTACAGATTGCAGAACAAATGTCCAGCTCCTTTGTGGAGTAATGGTGTCAGAGTGCACTGTCAAGCCACAGGTAGAGCTGCTGCTGTGGTCTGAACCTTCCAAAGCACAATGGGAAGGAGGAAGCCCCAGCCTACCCCAGACATGCCCTGAATGACAGAGCCATTTAGGGCCTGTGTAACATGTCATTCTGTTTGCAAACACATACTACTTGCCATACCACTTGACAAAACAAACCATCAGAAAGCCTGATGACAAATGACTAATGTTAAAAGAGGCCTGTGCATCGTTCCAATGATGACTCCATAGGTGTCAATTAAACATGGAAAAGACCTGTTCTGAAGTATGACCATCTGGCATTTCCCAAGGATCTGCAGTCAATGGCTGATAGAGTACAAGTGATCATAACTATAAAGAGATTTAGCAGCCCTCTCCATGCTCAAAAGCAACAAGAGCCCATGGGGACAAGGAACTTGGAAAATCTCCAAAATTAGAAGAAAATAAGGAAAAAGCTGCATCTGAAGCCAGCACTGCTCTTCCTCATGCATAGAAAGCAAAGATCTGGGGTTGAATGAGGTCATCTTTCAGCCACCAAAAAGGCAGACTGTTCCCAGGAATGCTGAGGAGTTTGTCTTGTAGTCTAGGGGTGAAGTCAATTGCTATGTCTCCAGGTGAGAGAAGGAATTGGCAGTAGTCCACTCCCTGCCCCTAGGAATGCTTTCCAAGTACCAGCATCTAGGACTTTGCCCAGCATACTAGGCCAAGATCATTGTAGTTCAAATGTCCTTCATAGAAACCATGCTTTTACTGGCTTTCAAGAGGAAGGAAGAGGACCCATTTAACAAATCTAATGAGAGTGATGCCAAGGTATAAAACTCCTAGAAGAGAGACAGTAACTGGAGCAGAAGTGCTTTTCAAGACTGTGGTTCTAGATCTGTCAGGCAGACACCTGTGTATATATAGACAAAGCTTCAAACACCACCACCTCATCACACCTAATGACTACCTGTGACAAGTGCTTGCATTCTCTATTTCTGGCTTTTCCAAACACGAAAATATGTGTCTTTACACTCAGTCCTGATTCTGAACCTATTCTTTAATGCTAATCTTTTTGTTTGTTTGTTTGTTTGTTTCTTTCTTTCTTTCTTTCTTTCTTTCTCCAATATGCAAGGTCAGGTAAGAAAGGAAATACTTTTCAGTTTTAATTTTGATCCAGATCTAAAATTATTAATGACTTTTTATTCATTACCCTTGATCCCTCCTTTTTTTCTGTGATTCAAGTAAATGCAACCCTCACATACCCTGACCCCAACATTAGAAGATAATAGTCTTAGAATAAGGTTATCAAGTAAAAACAAAACAAAACAAAAAGACAAAAAACGGTGCTTCTATTCTCCTGAGTCCCTTTTGCCAATGATGCAGCGTACTTAAATCTCTTTACAGTAGCTGCTTCAGTGTTAAGTTTTTGGTTTGGAAATAAAAAGAGGCTTAGTTAAGGTCACTGACAATTACTTTATCAGCACAATAGAAAACAACCCAACCCATTAACAACACTAAAATGGCAGAAGCGAACACAGTGGGAACAAGTAGGAAGAGAGGAATACCTGGGATTGCCAGATTGGAAAGGGGCACGTTGTGGAGGTGAGGGGGCAGCGAGGCCATCCAGTCGGCATTGCAGACCTCCGATGATGTCTTTGTCCCGCTGGGGTTGGGGGAGCAGATGGTCCCCATCCTGAGTTTCCTCCTTACCTTCCTAACTGCCAGCATCCCTCTCGGTCAGTCAACAAACTGTCCAGGTTCTGTCGAGTGCCACTCACTCAGTGATCATCATGCCCAGGCTCTCTAGATATTTCAGGTCCACCTTTGTCACTCCAGTCTTACCAAAATACCTTTCTGCCAGGGAGACAGGACAAATAGGTGGTTCTCTACCCCACAGCACCCGCAGTCCCCACCCTCTCAGGCCCAGCCGCTGTTCCACTCCTTTAATCTGCTCAGTGCCGGCTCCGTTAAACTTCTTATGTTCTGCTCTGGAGCACTGGGAAGGTAGGCCCCTAGAGATAAATCTTACAGAAACTGAACGTCCGACGAGCAGCCACGCCCGTAGCCACTTACAAGACAGGTGCCTACACAGCATATAGACAAGCCGGTGGCTCTATACATACGTGAGCTCCCGGACGCTCCATCACCAGCCTGATACAGGCTTCTATGGATGTCACTGGGCTGGCACCTAAGCCAGGCCTGCCTGCGCTCCCTCCCCCGGCTTCTCCGCACACACACCTCCTGCCCTGTGCTTCCTGAAGGGGCTCAGAAGAGTAACCGGCGGCACCCGGACTCACGGCAGCCCCGCCCACACTGCCGGGCAGATTTGCCGGGCTAGGCGGCCCGTGATTGGCCGCCGGCGAAGCGCGCTCCGATTGGCCCGCGCTCTCCCGGGCTGCCCCGCGGAGCAGCTTCCACCCCTCTGCTGCCCCAGTCTCCTCCCTCTGTTTCTCCAGTAGGCAGCCAGCCTGCAGAGACTGCAGCTGGAATCAGTAGGACCTCAGACAGGACTCTTTCCTCGGGCTTTCACCTAGCCAGCACCTATAGATATTTTTTCTTCCTTCTTTTCCCTCAGCACGCATACACACACGCGCGCGCGCAATAACAATTACACAGAAACTATTAAATTTTCAATAAACCACAGTGATAGCAGAACAAGAGGTAAAGAAGCTGAGAAAGATGCAGTATCCCGTATTTGGATGACAACATCAGGGATGGTTTATGTTTCAACCATTACGTAATTAAGATTCACCTACACACCACTTATTCCCATTTTACAGAGGAAGAAATGATACCTTACATTGTATTGCCCTGTTATTTGAACCTTCTTCCAAATTCTTTGTCGCATTTGCTCTTCACAGTACCCCCTTATGCGGAGTGGGCAGGGAAAATTGCTGGTACGATCTCTTTTTCATAGATGAAATGGACGTTTGGGAGCGGAGCAGTTCATATACTATTTGGAAATCTCATTTTGGAATGAAGCTTATACACACACTAACACATCTCCCGCCTTTCTGCAATGCCGCCTACTCCTTCGAATGGTCCTTAAACCATAGGGTCTCTAAGGGTATGAGAACTTTGCACACCGATAATCATAGGGACATATTGGCAAACTGGTAAATGAAAAATAAACATCTTGGCCTTGATGGTGGAGCCCTGGAAGGCTTCAGGCTAGGCTGCTCCTCAGTGATTCAAGGCGGGCATATGGAAAAAGGAAACAGCAGTCTTTGCTAAGAGAAGGCTGAAAGTTCATATAAAGATCTGTAGATCAGCTAACGTTTAATCACCATGCACCCACCTCATCTTCAAGATAACTTTACAGCACCAGTGCCTGAGTCCCAGCCACCTTTTCATAGTCATAACTGCCACTGCCTATTGTTCCCTTTTGACACATTATTAAAATTTCCTCTTCCAGGCTGTTCTTAACATTCATGTAAGCATGCTTTTCAGATTTTTGAGCTGCATAATATTACCAAAGGTTTTTTTTTTTTTTTCATTTTCTGAAAGGTGTATACCTTGGTTAATAAAAAATGTACACAATTCATCATGTATCTTTTGATACTTAAAGGGCATTTCTATAGAGTGCTCTTTTTTTAAGTATATCACAGGGCATTGGAAATATGTCACCTAGCTGTTCTTGTCAACAAAATTGTTTATTCCCTTGGAAAAATTACTCTTAAGAAATATCCCAAGATTTACTTTTAAAATGTCACCTTTCTTACCTTCCCTTGAACTTAAATTTTTTTCTCTTAAATTTCCCAAAACAAAATTTTATGGAAGATGCCTAAGGCAAACAAAATGTGTTATTTAAACTCTACTGCAGAAATGTTAATTTCAATCCCATTTGTTGTTGTTGTTGTTGTTTGTTTGTTGGTTGGTTTGTTTTCAGCTCTTAATGGAAAGAGGGAGCATAATAAGAAAGTTTGAACTTTAGACTTAGAGATATCACTGTGTGAGAACTTGAAAACAAGAGAAGTGAAACCACTTCAGAATGAGACACTTTGTATGTTGGGCAGCTATTTCAAAACTACTTCATTTGCCCAAGAAAATGGTTCAAAAGAAGACAACACTCTCTCCATATATTCTTTTTTTAAAAATAAATTTATTTAAATTAGTTTTAAGTATACAGTACATTGGTTAGACATATATTGTTCATAAAACGATTTCCCCAATTGCCCCCTTCCCCCCGACCCTCCACTTAGCCATCATATTAATGCTAACTACATTCCCTATGCCATGCTTCCCATCTTTCCACCCAGCTATCAACTACTAATTTGTACTTCTTTAATCTTTCACTCAATTCTTCCAGTTCCCCAATCCCCCTCCCCTCTGTCTGTCACCAAATTGTCCACTATATTTGTGAGTCTGTTTTTGATTACTTTTTTCTTTTTGTTTCTTAGATTCCACATATAAGTGAAATCATATGGTATTTATCTTTC